AAAAAAAGTAAAGGTAAAAGTTTCCCTATCCAGTCATGTCTGACTCTAGGAGGCAGACCTCATTTTTACTTCCTAGCCCAAGGAGCCATCGTTGTCCAAAGATGCTACAGTGGTCATGGGGCTGACATGAGTATATGCTGAGGTGCACCGAACACTATTACCATCCCACTAAAGTGGTACTAATCCCAATGAAATGGGAATGTTCACTGCAAAATCTTTTTTAAAAAATAATGTTAAAGTCATAGGTATGGATACTGATGCTAATTTTATTATCTTAACTTTAAATTATTTATTTTTTAACAACAAAATTGTTCTTGTTATCAAACAAATTATTTTTATATTAGGCCACCAGAAGCTAATTCAATTATTATGTAGAATGGTGATAGTGTTAAAATGTGTTCGTTACATTCCTGATACATGAAATGTCAGGATCTAAAATTGTCTACATGTTGTATTGATTAGCACTGCAAAAATCCAAGAACAAAATCAGTGGGATAGCCTGGATGAAAAATTCTCTAGTTTAAACTGCAGTCCTTAAAATAGTTTACCCAGACACTTACAGGAAATCATCAGGTAGTCTTCACAGTTGTTTTTTTCAATATTATGCTCCACAGATATTCCACTGGCATCAATTACAGCTTCAGAAGCACAGTCTGCCACTAAGACTTCTGAAACTACATCTTCTCCAAGGGAATCTGTGACAATTTCTGCTTCTACAACATTATTATGGTCATGAACATGTTCCGTATGTTCAATTTCAGGTACGTGTATTGATTCATTTGTGAGTACATGTTCAGGTATTGCCACTGCTGAAGCTGTAATTTCAGATGCTAAAACATCTTCTGGAACACTGCAGTGTGACAGAGATACTTCTTCAGTGACATCAGTGTCCAGCACTGGTTCAGGAATAATAACAGTTTGAGATACATCTGTATCTTCCATGATATCTGGACACTGAACATCTTCTATAACAACGTCCTCAATGACATCTTGAATTACTACAGAATCTGGATCATCAGGGACAAAATTATGTACAGCTATATCAGAATCTTCTACATCTGATACATATACAGTTTCCTGTATTTCGACAACAATTTCATCTCCGTTCAAATGCGTTTCATCAGCTCCTGGAATATATAAATTATAATCAGTCCTATACTATCATAAATCTTAGTTGAGGAAAAATCAGCAAATTTTGATTATGATATAGCAATGATATCTCTAACTTATTTACCAGACCAGAAAAAAAATTGATCTGAAGGGCTTTACTCGTCTTCATCCATTTATCAGGTGCAAATCATGGAAGTCATATACAGGTAGTCCTCAACTTATGACCATAATGAGGCCAAAACCTTTATTGCTAAGTAAGACAGTTAAGTTAGTTTTGCCCCATTTTATGACCTTTCTTGCCATTGTTGTTAAGTGAATCAGTGCAGTTGTTAAGTTAGTAATATGACTGTAAAGTGAATCTGGCTTCCCCGTTGACTCTGCTTCTCAGAAGGTTGCAAAAGATGATCACATGACCCTGAGACACTGCAACCATCATAAATATGAGACAATTGCCAATCATCTGAATTTTGATCAGGTGACTGTGGGGATGCTACAATGGTTGTAAGTATGAAAAATGGTTATAACTTTTTCAGTGCTGTTGTAACTTCAAATGGTCATTAAATGAAAGATTGTAAGTCAAGGACTACCTGTATTCTATATAATTTGCTTCCTACTTGCTAGTAACTAGCAATATTTCCACAATATAATTTAGTGTGATACAAGATAAAAAACTATTTTAAAAGCTAATTATTGATAACCTATTTTTCGATCAGTTTTCACAAACATTTCATAATCTGTCTTCCCACATAACTAGTAAGTTATCTTGCCTTTATTAAAAAAAACTGGTACACAATAATCATATGTAAATCAGTGGTGGGATTCAAATATTTTTACTATCGGTTCTGTGGACGTGGCTTGGTAGGTGTGGCATGGCTTGGTGGGCGTGATAAGGGAAGAATATTATAAAATCTCCATTCCCACTCCAGTCCAGGAGAAGGATACTGTAAAATCTCCATTCCCTCCCCAGTCCAAGGGAAGGTTACTGCAAAATCCCCATTTCCTCCCGATCAGCTGGGACTTGGGTGGCTGAGAATAGATGGGGGCGGGGCTAGTCAGAGGTAGTATTTACCAATTCTCCGAATTACTCAAAATTTCCGCTACTGGTTCTCCAGAACTGGTCAGAACCTGTTGAATATCACCTCTGATGTAAATATTTGAAACATATAATATTCCTTATATTTTTCAGCCTCAAAATAGATTATTAACTATTCTAAAATAGTTCTAAATTAGTTTAACTATTAAATAAATTAGATCCAGACTTGGGTAATAAAAGTAATCTGGATTCATTACTAAAGACCCAATAGTTATCGAGTTTAGGAAAAGAAACTTTATATATTATTTTCTTACATACCTGTTGGATCAAAAAACGCATGTGGGTCATGTGGCTGTAGTTCAAGCCCATCCTCATCCATGGCCTTTAAATCTCATCAGTCACAATGTCTATAAAATTAAAACAAATGTGTTTTGCATAGACTTTTAATAAGTGTCCCAGACTAGCACATAGCATATATATTGCAATCAAGCCTGCACTGGGGAAAAAATTGTCAAACCTTGAGACTTGAACGTTTTGCCCCATTCCTGAGTAAGCATAAAAAGAATGGCTAATATGTTGATGTCCCTTCCTTGCCTCCTATAGCAATGGGAGAATTCACTTGTACCAGAGCAAAATATATATACCTTCTTTGTAACACTTCGTGCTTTTCTCCCTATGCACGAACATCATGGCATTTTCTGTTAGACTATAATATTTTGATATAATCTGAATCAAATACTGCAAGTACTAACTGTATTTTTCCAATTTCATCCATTTTAATATCTAAAGCTTCTGGATAATTAAAAACTTTTTATTTGCTTGACTGGTATTGTTGAGTCTTGAATGCAGTATATTAAAATGTATTAATATAGTATCTGGCGTACATTCCTGCTTCCATTCATTTCACAAGCATAAAAAAAGTTTTCCTGCTTATGCATTCGCATCTGTTGAAATAAGCATTCCCATAAATACATTCTACATCTTTGCTTTCCTGCCTAAATTGTGTAGAAATCTTGACTAATATTTTCTTTTCTAGTGCAAGTTAGTATTCTTCGCATCAACCCCTATTACTCAGAAGCTATTGTCTATCACATTTGTTTTTCAGATGCTTGTTTACTGACTGCAATGTGTCGTTTCAAAACAATAAAATGGTCACTTTTGAGGGGTTTTTAAATCTATAATAATCCAATTTACCTACTTCACATATCACACCAACAGGAAAAAAAAACCTCTAGGCTGTTTTTCAATCTCTATAATTCAAATTATAAATTATTAACCATCCTATGGTAGTATTTATGTAACACTTGATGATTACTAATATTAAAATATCAAATGAGCAACAGAGGCCACAGGATTTATGACACCTAATTACTAATAAATTTATCAGCACATAGGCTTTCCTTGACTACTTTCTCTGCACATGTGTGCACTTGGAAGCTTGTTTCTGGTGGGATTTTGTATTTAATTCTGGTGCTTCAGCTGTGGCACCACTATGCTCCCTTATAACAGGCTTGCTCCCTCAAGCCTGTCATGCAAACAGCTTTTCTTAATTAATGAAACTGACCCAGACTATTATTTTCCTCGGTATCTGTTGCCACTGGTTGGTGGTTCATGGTTAGGTTATTTTTTGCGGAAAGACAGAACCCTCTGGACAAAACCGAGCACCTGGCGCTGCAAGCAGCTCTTCCTGTATCAACATAACGGAGAGGGGGAGCTATGTGAATAATCACTCGTGTTCCGTCGGTCATTGTCTGATACTCAGGGCTAGGAGGCAAAGCAATAATAGACAGAAAATGCCTCTGCACCCGCTGGATATTACGTGAAAGGGAAGAATGTGGAGGGACTAAATTATGCAGGGCTCGGGAGTAGCCGAGCAGGACAACTGGGCATAAGAAAGGGAGGGAGAGGGGAGGGGCAAGCTTCCCCCACAGGCGCCGTCTCCGCCCTGCCCTGCCCGCCTGTAATGGGGACTGTCTGGGGCCAGAAGCGATTAATTCAAGATGGCGTCCGGCACTCTTCCTCAGCCTCCCTTGCTGCCGCCATCTTGTTCCCCCCCCCCCAGCAGCGATCCCTCCGTTTCAGGCCTGGTCCCACTGTCCTCCAAGAATGTTTGACCCCCATTCCTCGTGCAACCTACAACAGCCCACCGCTTTTCTCTCTCTGGAAGCTGAGCTACAGCTGCCTGACCCCCCCCCTGCAAGGCTTCCGGCCCGTTCCTGCAACAAGGAATGCCGCGCGGCCTAGCTGCGGCCTTCTTGGGGCCTGTACCGAAGCAGGCGCCGAGGCCTGGTTCCACGCAGGGGTAAGGGCCTAGGTCAGGCCTGTCCCATACTGCTTACCAGGCGGGGCGGTGCGGCGGGCTCTGGGAGGCCTTTCTCCGCGTAGTTGGGCCGATCTCGGTGGTAGTGTCGCGGCGGCGGGGCGGGCGGGCGGGAGCGAAGGGGAGGGAGGGGCCGAGCTCGGAGCTGAGTGGAAGCGGCCAAGCTCCCCGGGCCGGCCAGCCGTCAGCACGTCACGTCACTGCCCGTGAGAGACCCAGGGAAATGCGGAAGGAGTTGCCGGCTCCGCTGCTGCTTGAGCCGCCTGCTCTTCGGCCCCGGGCCAGGCCAGACCGGGCGCGCGACCGAGAAGGAACCGGGCCGGGCCGGGTGGATGAAGTAGAAGGGCGGTGGGTCCCTGCCAACCCCTCCCGCTATAGCTGCCGCTCCTGCCGCCGCCTCCGTTCCAGCTCGGCCGTAAAATTCCGCTCCGGGCTCACTTGCTGAACACGACGCCGGGGAATGAGGAGTTGTTTAGGCCTGGAAAATCCCCAACATTTTGGGGTGGCTTCTCCACAGGCATTGCCCCGGGCACCCCCGCCTCTCGCATCGTAATACATCCCCCTTGCTTGCCGAAAATAAATTTATCCACAGCCTTTTGGAAAATGAAAATAAGAGGTACCTTATTACGGCATTTTTAATGAAAGTATTGTCCCGCTCTCTATCTCTACCCTCCGCCCTCCCCTTCTCCATTTGACGGAGAACATACATTTTTCTTAAATAGGAAGCCAGGAAAATGAAAGTACGGTGCTTTAATCCCGGTTCATATAGATCAATCGTTTTGGTGAATGCAGTTATCTACCATGTTTTCTGTTTCTGGTTTTATAGGGAGTCGGGGGTATATTGTTGTACAGCTACTTTTCCAAATCAGAATGTGCAACCTTGTTAGCAAATAAAAAATTTGCGATTATTAGACATTGGGTGCCAGTGTGTCTTTTGTTGTAAAATGAATGTTTCAAAATAATTGTTTCATAGTTGCAAACTTAAATTTACTGAATACTTCATTGTAACGATCTATATTTTGTTAATGACACAATTATTTAAAAGTTACGTAGATGGTTTGTACAGTTCTCTGTTTTCAGATATCAAAATCAGATTGTGGATACTTGATATGAGTATGGATCAAATTAAGGCTCATTTCCTTTGGAGCCCTAAGGTGCAAATCACATATGCATTATATCCCATTTAATTCTCTGTTAAAAATGTGTGTTAACAGCAGAACACAATTTTGTGTCTTTGCTTTGTGTTATAGATGCTATTTTTAATATTTTCTATTAAGCTTAGATAGCATTTTTAAAGTTAAAAAAGTAAATTACAAGTTGCAAAATTCTCAGGTACAGTATAGTCAAACTAATGGAATTCTGAGAACTGAAATCCATTCTCTGGAAGGGGATGACAAGGTTAGAGAAGACTTCTCTTGTTATTTTCTGCTGTGTATCTTCAATTATTAGCAATAAAATACATTACCACGTTTAGTAAATTGTTGTGTATCTTGTTTTCCTAATATTATTTTAATTGCATGGTTTATTGTTTTAATAACATTTGGTTTAATAAAATGTATGATATTTAGGGGGAACAGCATTAAAAGTTGAAGTACTTTTAATTACTTAAGTAATTAAGTATTATAATACTTAATTACTCATAAATCCATCCTCATAAAGAACACTTTATATACCATAGATTATGGAATTCAGTGTCACATGATGTAATGTTGGGAATTCAGTTTAGAATTAAAAATAGATGTAAACATGTAGGAAGATAAAGACTGCTATGGTTCTTTGTCAAAGTGCCTGTATGAAATCCATTTTAAAACTTGAGGCTTTCAAGAAGCATCTACCCGGTTACTTTGCAAACAAAATTCTGACTTAGAGGGATCTTTTGGTCTGATCAGCAAACCTTTTCTTCGTAACCAAATAAAACATATGGTATGTTAATTGAATAAATTAGCTGGTTTGCACAATTTTTATGATACACCAATCAAACATACAAAAATATAAAACTCTATAAAAGGATCAATACAATCACAAAAATGATAAGCATAGAGGTAAAGAAAAAAATAGAAGTTTAAAAAAAAGACTTGGAAATTACATTATGAGCAGTATAGATTTCTTCCTACATTGTGCCATTCATAGCCAATTTTCATGCCCGAGAAGTCCACAATTGTTGTATGTAAACTATGAACAGCAGTCATATTAACAGTCCTGATATTGGCTCAAATGCAACTATAACCGGACAATACCACTGTATCAGTTAATGTTAAACTCCCAAGTATATCTTCAATTGCAAGGTGATTACAATCCTTACCGATACAATAAATAATAGGAAGTTTTGTACATTATCCTAAACTATGGTTTGTTTGAATAAAACTTAATTTGTTGAATTAAGACGAACATAATTATCTGATTATTATTTAGTATGATATGTAAACCCAGCCTTTTTTTGTTATCCATTTTCTTTTTTAATTAACCAACAAAAACAATAGTCAACATCTATGTTCTTTGGCATAGTCTCCAAGCCTGGATAAATAATTTGATTCTGGAAAATCAATATATTTTGGTTTTAGAATTTTTATGATGGAATGATTAATACAATATTTAAGACAATGTAGATACTTTGTTTTCAAGGAATCTCTAGAAACAATGCAACAGAAGGAGCAATCGTAGGTTAAGGCTGTGTTTTTGTCCCCCAGAAATTTTGTTTTCATGACAGAAATTCCTTGGAGTTCTATACTGATCCCAGTAAAACACATGCTAGGTGTATTTCATAGTTAAATAGATTGATGAACAGTCTAAGAACATTAAGTATTTTCCTAGACCAAAACCTTAAAGGAGACTGGATAAACTTTATCAGAACAGAATTTGACATTTCAAACTATAGAACAGGAGAAAATCCAATATATGCAAATTTTAAGGATAGAAAATAGTTAACATTAAACTATTTTTAAATCCTCCATATGAATACTTGCAGAGTATAGCAGCTGCATTATTCATATAAAAAATAAAAAATGAAAGAAAACAATTCTTTCAAAAGCAAAACTTTTTGCTTGAAAAAGTTTTAATATTAAATCAAATGTATTTCAGATTGCCCTTCAGAGGTCATTACTCAGGACACTTCACATAAAGCTTACTAATAATGGAATTAGGTTTGGAGCAAATGAGTAGTTTTATGCTCAAATAATGTTGGAAGCATGTCACACAAAGGTAATGCAGTATTCCAGAATCAAGTTGCAATAATACCTAGAATACCTTGTCCTGGATAATTTATTTTTATTACATTATGTATTTGTTCATGGTTTTTTATAGCCTGCCCCCGTTAGAAGAATAATATTAAACAATACAAAACCATAAATACCTCCAACAATCAAGTAGAGTAAAAATAATAATAGGGGAATAGGGCTGTTTTGACAGCTTTTGGGAATCCATGAGGAAGAGACCAAACAGAATAAGGACCAAAACAGAAAAGACGTCATCTGGTCCATGATTCTATATCAAGAAAAATTCAAATTTTGGATTTGATAAAAACCAATAAATGAAATTTAATCCAAAAATGATTTTTATATTGACATAAATTATGTGTAAAATTTGTTATTTATATGCAAAGTTATTTGAGACATTATAATCTCACAATGTAATTTGCCATTATTTTACTGAGGGAATTATATGTATTTAATGTGATGTATAACAGAAAAATTCAACTTTTAGAACTTCTGTTGTAAATCATTTTCAAAAATTGTTGAACTTTACAGCAGTGCCATTAAATATGGAATAATAATCCAACTTGATTGTTATATAACCAATACTTTTTAGAAAATAAGCTGTCAGTTTAGGAACCAATACTGGAGTAATATTAGTAAAACATATCATTTTAAAGTACAACATTAACTGTAAATCTAATATTTTTTCCATTGAATTTCCATTGCTTCATATCAATTGTGTCTAAATACTGCATCCATTTGGTCATACAATCTTTAACTTGCTCGGTTTCCGAGTCAAATCTTACCAACTAGAAGGAAAACTACTGGACAATTTTGGGTCCACTTGAAAAGGTCCACCATCTATATTGAAGTCAAAGGCAGCTTGGAAGTGTAGTTTGATGAGAAAATTATTTAACCACAATAGCATAAGTTAATATATTTCATTTCTAGATCACAATTCATCTGGAATGAAATAAAAACCAATCTATATTCTCCCAGGTCAGATTACTTGAAAAGGACCATAGTTGCCATGGAGGTCATGAATTCACAAGTTTCATCAGACTTTCTTCCCAGGATACTTTGGGAGTTCCAGTCCCAATCCTGAGATGACAATCAGGATCTTGTAGAGTCACTGCCATGCAGGTAAGTAATTTCAGCAGTAACACCAGTTTAACAGCCCCATTGGAAGGACTCCCAGCTGGTTACTTCTAGATCAGTGCTTACAGCCACTGCTTTTCCTTAGTCAAACTGGCATGGCTGATACAGGACTCAAAACCACTGTGCAAATTACTGACAAGGTTATATTCTCTCTGTTATCCAACCTGCTCTCAATAATACATGTTAGTGTGTTTATTAATTCCATACCAAAGATGGATATGATGTGAGAATTTGCATAGAGGAATATATGCTGAAATATTATGCAGATAATGTGATATTAACTATCATAGGACCACAAAAGGCAATAAAACAGTTAAGAAAAACAAGATTTTCAATCTGCTGCAAGAATATGGTTGTCAAGATAGCTGACTCCATGAAATGCCAGGATTTGCACCTGACAGGTAATAATCAAGAATATCTATTTAAACTATGGCAAGAGAAGAGACATTGAAAAGTGCAGAAGCTTAAAGTTACCTTGGTTAAGATCAATTGCAATCATAAAAATGAATATCACTCCAGCTAAACTATTTCACATAAGTATTCATGTTCTATTAGCAATATCCCACAGGATACTGAGTAGCTAAATGTCATAAATGACTGATATGGCATTGCATCATAATTACATTAAACCGGATCTACTGTATAAATCATTATTCACTTCTCAACTTGCAATTCAGATATACGGCATTTCTATTCAATAATTTTAGCCTTTTCCAAAAAATTAAAATAGACAATAATTAGTTCGCTTTTTGGATACTGTCCATTGTGGTTGCAAATATTTTATTTTGGATGTGTAATTGGAATTATATTTCAAAATTCTCTCTTGAGGGGTTTAGTTTTTAAAAAAACATTTACTGACAGATAAATAGGATCAGTGCTTTGGGACCATTAGCTATAAATATAACAGCGTTCAATAATATGTAGAATCATATTTGCTGCAAGGTCGAAGTATGGTATAGAACAAGAAAGAAAATTCATCTTCTAAGAAAAGTTTATTTGTTTAAGTTTGTTTCATTGACAAACATTTCAGTTTTTTGTTACTCAATGACCTATAAGAGTTAAATGAAAAAATAAGCAATTTTCAAAATTCAAAATCAGATTATGGGGTCTTGAGTTACATTGTTTAAAATCAAATAGTCAGCCCCATACAGTCTAAAAAAACTGACATAAACACACAACAAATTTAGTTTTTGTGAAATACTGGAGAATTAGATCCATCTTTGCTAATTTGTTTAATTTATTGCAGACACTGTCAAGACTTTTAGTTAGAGATTTGATTTTCAATACAATGTGGACATTATCTCTGCAACAGCTTCCTCACTAAAAATGCATTCCAATTGTATGGAAACACACACCATTTTTTTACAAATTGAAGAATTGGCTTTTTGCTTTCAATCATCATCCACAGTAGGCTTGATTGTCACTCCTCTTCTAATTTGTCCCCATCCAATTAAACTGGAAAACAAGAAAAGCAGATTAGAAAAACTTTGAGGCATCAAAAATAAATTTGAATAAAAGAAGATCCTCTAAATACAATATACCGTGTTTCCCTGAAAATAAGACCCTGTCTTATATTTTTTTGAATCCATGTACTCAAAAGCCCGATTGGACTTATTATCAGGGGATGTCTTATTTTGCGGGAAACAGATATAAGATAACATTATGCAAACATTAGTAATCATTTCCCATTCCAGATAATTCATGAATCACGTTTGGAATACTGGGATTGGCCATTATCAGAAAATAAAACTCAAAAGTCTGATTGCTCCAATATGAAATGTTTTGTATACCACTGTATACAGGTAAGTTCTCTTAGGAGAGTTAGAACTGGTAGCAACACAGTAGTAAGTGAAAAATGTGAATGACCATGCTTGACTTATGTAAGTTCTGATGTAGTTAAGCAAATCACATGACTCTGAGTTGCAATTACTGTCACCTTCCCCATTGACTTCATATCAAAAGCCAGCCATTGAAAATAAGAAATAAGCATGGAATGGGAGAAAACTTAAGAGAGAATAGGAGATAAGATATTTATTGAAATATACTTGTATCTTAAATTGGTAGAGATAAGGAGGAGAATAGATTAGAAAACAATATTGGTAACATATTCTGAAGTAATTTGGAGCTAAACAACTGAATAAGAGATAAATGTTATGAATTAGTTAAATAAATGAGTTTAGGAGTGGAGGAAAGCATGATTCTGGAGATCAGTGAAAGCAAAGCTGTGACCCAGTTTTACAAATAAGGTAGGAGTGGAGGAAAGCATCATACTGGAGAACAGTTAAAGTAAACTGGGAACCAGTTAAAAATAAAAAGAGTTAGGAATGGAGGAAAGCATGGGCTGGAAAACAGTTAAAGCAGTGGTTCTTAACCTTCCTAATGCCGCGACCCTTTAATACAGTTCCTTATGTGGTGACCCCCAACCAGGGGTGGGTTCTAAATTTTTTTACTACCGGTTCTGTGGGCGTGGCTTATTTTGTGGGCGTGGCTTGGAGGTTATGTGACTGGGTGGGCGTGGCTAGCTGGTCATGTGACTGGGTGGCCATGGCTATGTGTATAGGGACTACTCAAGAGGGCTGAAAAAAGTCATTTCTGACAGGTCCTCACACTTTTGACTGGTCCTCACACTTATGACCATCCTCACATTTATGCCCGTGCAGCATTCTTAACAACCATGTTACTCATTCACACAACTATCCACCATGGGGATAGGGCAAAAAACGTAAAATGTGAGGACAGTCGTAAATTCGACAACTGGTCAAAAGTGCGAGGACCAGTCAAAAATAACTTTTTCAGCCCTCTGAGTAGTCCATGTGCACAAAAGGACAACCCAGAGGGCTGAAAAAAGTGATTTCTGACAGGTCCTCGCACTTTTGACTGGTCTTCGCACTTATGACTGGTCATCATTTATTCCCATTGTAGCATTCTTAACAACCGTGTCACTCATTTCAACTGCTTCTCTTCACAATGGTGACAAGATAGGGCAAAAACGTAAAATGTGAGGACAGTCGTAAGTTCGAGGATTGGTCAAAAGTGCGAGGACCAGTCAAAAATAACTTTTTCAGCCCTCTGAGTAGTCCATATGCATAAAAGAATACAGCAATAGAGAGGGATGAAGGAAGGGAAGGGAAATTAGAGTAGGAGTGAGGGTAAGAGAGGGAGGAAGAGAGGAGGAGAAGGAGAAAGGAAGAGGAAGTAGGGAGAAGAAGAAGAGGGGGGGAAGAGAAAGGAAGAAGGAAAGAAAAGAGAGAGGTGGTAGGTTTGAGGAGAAAGATTGCTGTACAATAAAAAAGATGAAAGGGAAGAAAACCAACCCCAAACAAATATGAAGGTATTAAGATAAAGAATGAATTGTTAAACTTTAAAGAATAAAAGAGAACAAATATGAATAAATAGCAATAATTAGAAACACATATACAAACATACAATGTATTTTCTTTGAACAGAGTATTTGGCCGGTTCACAAATTTAAACAGTGTTTAGTCATTTCAATTAAATTTACAATTTCTATATTTCCTTTTTGCCAATTTATTCCTCATCTATTTTTAAAAAAAAAACAATGTTACCCTTCATCCTCATCTCTAATCTTCAATTTTTCCCTTCTATTCTATATTATACCCCTTCCCATTGTCATCTATTTTTACATCCATCCTCACATTGGTTAATTATGTAATTATGTAATACAGTTGTTTAATACAAATTCAACATTTTAATATAAATCAATTAATTATATAACTATCTTTTTTGTATATTAATCAATATGAACAAGAATATTCCAATTATTTCCATGCAATCCAATATCTTACAAATCAATTAATTATATTTACCAATAATAATAAACCAAATAATTTCCCCCATATATTCCTCCAAACCACAACTTAACCATTTCTGCTTTCAACACAATATACAATTAATAGTATCTCAATTATTACAATTCCCTAGTTAAATAGAGCTTTTTTTCTTTTGTGTTTTAAAATCTTGAACCTCCTTTTTTGCCCTAAATTTCCCATTGTTTGCAGTTTTGCACCTACCTTTTTTGGTGAGGAAAAAGAAAAAGAAATCTCTCTCTGCCTCATTTTGTCAGCTTGCAGCAAAGATCCTGCTTTACTTTCACTTTCGTTTTCTCAGCATAGCTAGGGGGAAAAAATCTGCTCGAGATTTTTTTGCAGCTAGCAAGAGCCCTCCGCAAAACAGCTGAGAGCAAATCAGCTGAGAGTCGAGGCTGATCTAATCAACTTGTGCTAATTAACCTATCCTGAAGCTGAAAGGGGCTGTTTTTTCTATTTTTGCAGGCACCGGTCTACTCATTTTTTTTTTAACACTGATCAGCTGTAGGGCAGCCCTTTGAAGCCCCGCGGCAAGAATTTAAACAGTTTTTTTCCCTCTAGCCATCAGCTGGGACTCAGGAGGCAGCAATAGATTGGGAGTGGGTGGAGTAAGCAAACGGCCAGTGATCCAACAGAGGCAGAGGGTGAGTGAAAGCGTGGGGGGGGGCCGAGAGAGGGCTTTGGCGACCCCTGTGAAATGGCCGTTCAACCCCCAAAGGGGTTGCGACCCCCAGGTTGAGAACCGCTGAGTTAAAGCAAAGCTGTGAACCAGCCAAAATATTGAGTTAGGAGGAAAGCATATGCTGGTCGACAGTTAAAGCAAAACTGTGAACTAGCCAAAAGTTAGGAGTGGAGGAGACTATACCTGGGGATCAACTGAAATAAAGTTGTGAACCAGTTAAAAATAGGGGTAGGAGTGGAGGAAAGCATTGCTGGAAGGCAACTACTTGAGTTGTGAACCAGTTTTATAATAGATTTAGGAGGAGTTAAGGAGAAGGTTGGTGTGCAGTTAAAATTATACTGTGAACCAGCTAAAATAATTAAGATAAGGAATGGGGAAAGCATTGCTGGAAAGCAGCTGATTAAGATGTGAACCAGCTAAAAAATAAATTTAGGAGGAAGTGGAAGAGATTTTACCGGAGAATAGTAGCTAAACTG